GGACTTTGTATTTGCTTGTTCTCAAATACATTGAACTATTGTATGCCAGGCATTATTCGCAACACTTGGAATATTTCACTAAACATTGCAAAAATCCATGCCCATGTGATATTTAGGTCCTTGTGTGGCCAAAATGATATTGCAAAAATCCATACTTGTGTGAAATTTAAGTTCTTGTGTGACACAGAAAGAAAAGGCTTGGTGATCTGCTTCCACAAAGAATATAAGCCAAGAAAGCGAACAGTTGTCTAGATGTAACATGCTTATATCTGGATGCAGTGAAACTGCTAGCTATCAACTTAGTTTTTTTTATGATGAAGCTTAATGGTATGTAAGGAGCTCTGCTCTGGTGGCATATTATTTGGGGGTAAAACCACCAGCTGCTCCTTGAGATCTACTCAAGTAAAAGTAAGCAGTCTGGCTTAACAGGAGCTGCACCAGAAGGACTTAACATAGATGCCCCACTGGAAGAACTGAGACCTGCCTCAAAGCTGCCTGTACCCTTGGACTGTAGACTGGAGTACTTGAGTAGGAGAGGAAGCAGAGGGTGGCTGCTCGAGGACTTTGGAATTGTCAGTCATTAGGCTTGGGGCGGAACCCTATGCTCAGTGGGTGCCTAATGGAAAGGGACCTAGGACCACCAAACGTACCTTGATGCCAACCCTGCAGTAGCATGACAGGTTCTGATCCATTGAGCAGGCATCTACACTTGAAAGAATTGGTCCAGAAAGGTACCCCCCTGGCATCAATCCCCATTGCTATGGTCAACAGTGCCCAATCAAATGGAAGATTGAACTGTGGTCTCGCTTAGACTCTTCATACAGTATCTGGAGTGCTGGGTCATTGGGAAATTTGATAATAGTGCAATTGGCTTAGGTCCCAGGGGGGTGATTGACAATGCTGTACTTTGTTTATATGCGTTTTTGCTTTACTACTTATAGCTTGCTTTAATTTTTTTGGTGTGTGTTATATTTATTGTGTGTGTGGTTTGGTTGCTGGTTGGTTTATGGCTGCTATTGGTGTAGTTGGCCCTATGGGGGTTTGATTTTGTTACAAGACAACCAAAATAAACTTGAGATGTGCAAACCCCATGGACAAGCAGATGGAGTCTGGGTTCCTATTTAACTCTAGCTCCAATTAGTTTTGATAATGTGGCCCTGCTCAATTCTCACCTTCATGAAATGATCCCTGAAGATAATGATGCTATATAGCAAAATGTGGTGAAAAAGTAGATGGTGCTTGGCTATCCACCAGCTTGTGTGATCCAAAGATGTCAATTACAAAATTCAAATCTGGCAAAGGGAAAAGTAAAGTATCAAAGCTAAAATTATGAACGCCCAATTTGTGGAAGGCTGTGGAGGACAATGGGAGCCCAAAACCTATCTGCAGGCTTTCTAGTCTGAGCTGCTGGCAGAGCCCCTCTAGCCACAGGCCAGTCTCTGAACAGTCTTCCCATCAGGTAGA